TAGTTGCAGCGACCAATGCGGCGACTAATATATGTAAATGTAACGTGAGCCTGGGCCCAGCTATCCAAAAAAGGGACACTTGAATACACATCTGTGCACTTGTTTGTATAGGAAAATGCACCCTTCCAGTGACTGGAAGTAGTTTTAAGAGTCTCTGCTAGGTATATAAGAACCAGGATTTTAAGCAAACAGTTCAGTTTTAATCTTGAATTCGGCAAATGTGGCGTTGTTTTTATTTAACGCTCTAACAATACTCGTGAGTACCATACGCAGTATCATGTTTTTTCGATAACTCATCCGATAACTTTTTTATCGAGAATAATCGAATATTTGATTTTTTTTCAGTATAACTGGACCACTTTTAGACCTAGAGACTTCACATTTACTGTGTATATACATTTGATCGATACGAAGATTTTGTCGTTTACTGATTTTGGATACCACACCCCTTCGCCAGCAATTTAAAAAAACGCATTTCAAGTACTAGAGACTTGTGCTTTGGAATGTATTATTACTATAAGATTACGCTCTTTCTTTCATTAAGATTGTATGTCTACAAAAGAAATTATTCGACAAATAAATTCTCATAATATTGTCCACACTGCAGCGCAGCCCAAGCGCAGTCGCTGCTAGCTGCGCAGTCAGCAGAGCGCGTGATTATACGTGCGTGTGGATGCATGTGTATGCATGTGTGCATAAAAGAAGTGCAGAATGAGTAGAATATCAGCATAGAAGGATCAGGGTATCTCCTAGTCGAGCAGTCTCGACTGGAGCCTTCTTACTTGTTATACCCTGAACCCATTTTCAATGGGAAATCAGGGTAAAATGGATTTGTTGAAATGTAAATAACAGGCAGAAGGAGGTGAAAAGCAAAACTCGATATCCGCGTGGTATACACGGACATTTTACAAAATCAGCTCTTGTATCTTCTGAAATCGTCACGTTCAAACAGAAGGACAGACGGATAGACGGACGGACGGACAGACAGACAGACGGACAAAATCAACTCAGATATTTCAAATACTAGAGACTTGTGCTTTGGCAAATACATGTATATCCGTATTATGATCATAATCTAAAAGTTTCATGAAGATCGTATGTCCACAAGAAAAGTTATTAAAAAATTAAGTTCTCATAGTAAGCCACCACTGCAGCCCATGCGTGTTTAGGCGTGGGTGCCTGCGTGCGTGTATGTGTGCTTGTGTGTGTGTCTTGTGTAAGTAAAAAGACGCGAATATTATTGAAATAGCGATTGCTCGAAGGGTTCGGGGGATTTCGTAGTCGAGCAGTCTCAACTAGAGCTTTCTTACTTGTTTTTATACTCATTCACGAAAGTGAAATGAAAGCTATGGCGGATATTTATCCGCCCATTGGGGGCGTGGAAAATCGGATAAAACTGTATTTCCTAAAGTTGTAAATTTAGAATACTAAAATTTTGCACGTAAGCTGATGTTTTGATTCTATAAAGATTAGTGATATTATATATCTACGCCTACTAGGAGCGTGGCAAACCGGACCTGAAGATAAAGTGATTTTCCAATTCCGCTATATTTTAGGCACTATTGATGCTAGAGACCTGAAATTTTGTATATATACGCGGGTTGACCACCCAAGTCCAACGAACTATGGTAGATATATGTCCGCCCGTAGGGGGCGTGGCGAACTGCAAAAGTTTATATCTCCTACAGTTTAAGAGCTAGAAGCTTCTATCGATGCCCCAAAAATAATTTTTACGACTCTTTAGGGGCGTGGCATATCGAAAAATACCCAGTAATTTTCACATTTTTTGAGCGTTCTAAGAACTTGCCAAAAATTAGGAGTCTACGGCCACTAGGGGCGTGGCAATCGGCATTTATAGTGCCCGAATTGAAACATTGATGTGCGCCAGCCATCTAAATATGTATTTTTACATATAAATAAGCTTAATAGATATTCATTCAAAATTGTATAAATTTTTTGTCATTTGAATGCAATGATGCAATGATGATAGCAATAGCTATCGATGATTTAACAATTTTAATGGGATCCTAATTGAAAATTGCACTATATACTCTGGTTGACAGCGTTTGGGCTGTGAATGAGTATTCTGCAACCGGTATCGCCCGACTGCAACGTTCTTACTTGTTTGTTATAAATTTGCAATTTATACTACATTTTCAGATTCTGCAGTACGACTTATTGTTGTCGTCTTCATCTCGGGCTATCCACGTCTTGAAATCTGGATGCTGTAGTCAGCTATCCCGAAGTTTTTGCCTATAAGTCTCCTTGGGCATTTTATCACTCTTTTCGCATTCAACACAATGACAAACGACAATTCAATTTATCACAATTCAATTTATGACTGTTTTTAACAAATTATCGGTACACAATTTAGTATATTTAATGCTAAAGCTATGTTCTATTCTGCAATGTTAATTAATAAAATTCTGTTGCATCCACAAATGATCAAATGGAAAACCAACCAACCAACTTGGAAAATATGAACATGATTCGTATTTACACAAACATGATCGAATTTCGGATAGAGGATGTATGATATTTTTCCGGACGTAGCTCTTAAAAACAGGACAGATCTGTCCGGAAAAACGATAAACTGGTATCACTAATTTTAAACATCCATAGGATAGAAGCGAAAATACAAACCATCGAGATTATAATATTGGTATTACAGTTTTGCTCGTCGAATATATACTAATATAGTCGTACTAATATAATCGACTACGAGATCCCCTGAACCCTTCGAGTTTCATTAATTTGCGTATTTCCTGCTTACAAAAGAAACAGCACAATCACACACGTACACACGCATAGGCATATGTAGGCACGCAAATAAGTTCACGTAGTTAGTCCACGCTGCAGCCCATGCGTGTTTGTGTGTGCATGCGTATATGTGTATGTGTGTAAGTGGAAAGACGCGAAGAATTAGTCAAATATCATTCAGGGTTCAGGGGATTTCGTAATCAAGCAGTCTCGACTAGAGCTTTTTTATTGCGACCGATAATGCCCTACTGCAACGTTCTTATGTTGTGTGTTCATGTATTGAATTTATGGATTTCTTGTAGGTGCTGCCACGTACTTTTGCCAATTGACTAAGCGTTCATTTAATAATTTCTCCACAAACAATTGATTAGCTTTTAAATTTTCCACATTTAACCCTCATATCGATTTGATAAAAATGCAAACTCTTTCGCTTGAAATTGAATAATTCAGTTACTGCTGACTATCTATGTATACAGTGCAGTGATGCCAATTTGTCCTTTTTCCGGAAAGATCTGTCCTGTTCTTAAGGGCTTCGTCCGGAAAAATATCAAACATCCTCTATCCGGAAATCTGTCCGTTTAAAATATACTAAATTGTGTACCGATATTAAATGTTAGTTATTATTTATTTGCTACAAATATTCTTGGATTTAGATTGCCGGACAACTATAAAATTCTTAAGCAAGTTGACCTGTTTTCTGTCGATCGTGCTCTGCGAGCGAAAAAAAATTCCATTTTTCCCATTTTGAAACTGTTTAAACTCGGGGACGAAACTAAATCTCAAAATAGTTTCCCAATATGGCAACACACATACAGCTAGTAAAATAGGAGAATGTAGATGACAGCTTGAAATTTTGGACAGAAGTTAAACAATATCGAGACTCGGCAGGCAATAACCCGTTTTCGGAGCTGGTAGAACTCGCGCTGACAATGCTTTCGTTGCCATAGTCGAACGTGGAGGTCGAAAGGGTGTTTAGCCAAGTAAATTTGGTTAAAACAAAGTTAAGGAACCGCCTTGACATAGAAACGTTAAAGTGAAGAGGACACGGATTGCATACTTGACAATGCCTTGAAATGTTTGGAATAAAAAAGAAAAAACCCAAATTAACAAAAACTAAACTTTTGTCCTGTTTTCAGTCCTTTTTTTTCAGACTTTTTTCGTATTTTCTGGACATTTTTGCTTTTCCAAAAAAAAATTGGCATCACTGATACAGTGGCTTTCAGCTTATCTCGTTCAGCGGTATAGTACAATTTTAAAGCCCGCTAAAGCAGTAAAGATATCCAACAAATTTAAATGGGGTCTTATTTATAAGTCATTCATTATGTATTACCGCACATCATTATTTTTCTGTTTTAACAAATAACATTTTCAACTAAATAAAAACTAAAATAACTGACACATTCCATGTCACAGCTTATTCCGTGCACTTCACTTTCAATGACTTTATTGCCCAAAAATTCTTAAATTAGGTTTTTACCTCCTTTTTGTTGATTCAACTAGAATTTTTTCGCAATAAAGTCATTGAAAGTGAAGTGCACAGAATAAGCTGTGACATGGAAAGTATCAGTTATTTGAGATTTCTTTAGTTTTAAATGTTATTTGTTAAAAAAGGAAAAATAATGAAGTGCGGTAATACATAATGAATGACTGATAAATAAGACCCCATTTAAATTTGTTGGATATCTTTACTGGTTTAGCGGGCTTTAAAATTGTACTTTACCGCTCCTAACTCCTAACTCCTCCCAAAAACAGGTAATGAGAATATTCACTACGAGAATACATGACAACAATCGATTGCAAAGTGTTTGTTTTTTCATTGAATACATTATGTCGTTACAGTGTGTACTGAAAAATTTGTTCATATAATTTTTTAAATGGAATAATTTTTAGATGCTTATATGAGACTATTCCAAAATTGTAATTAAATTTACATAAACTTTAAAATACATTTTATTACATATGTTATATCCGTTATATATTGTACTCTTGTATTTTTTTTTATATATACATGCATACATACAAACATATGTATGTAAACAGAATTTATTGTACTCATCTGGATTTTTACTTTGCAGGAGAAGACAATTCTATCAGTTCTTTTTTTTTAATGTAATGACGACGTGTATATAATTACGAATTACATACATGAACGGAAAACACACAACTTTAAGCATATGTATGTATACAAGTGTACGTACGAGTGTAGGTTTGTGTATGGAATTAAAACTACTTCGGCTTACCTTAATAGAGAGACAGTTTAATATCTGAATTGTAATGTGTGGTGATGAATCATCTTTATGCTCTTGAGTGCTCTCATCGTTTGTTGAAGTATTTTCGTCACATTTATAAAAATCATTTTTTGTCGGAGTCGATTTAACAGTGTTAACTAAACTATGCAAAATTTTCTGCTCTCCATGATTGATCGATGTGGATGTTATGTCCTTTTTTAATTTTTCATTATTGCTCGGCAATGAAGATTGAAAATGTATTGGTGTCGAATTAGTTTGTTGCCTCTTTTTATTTGAAAACAAGGGATCAAAGATATTTGATTCAATAGTGCATGGCGGGCTAGTGGAAGCAGAAGGCACACTCGGTGTGTAATAATTTTTTTGAAACTTATTAAATGAATCAGTTTCATTATTATTTTGCACTGCTGATAACGAGTTATCACATTCACAGCAACATGTTTTTGGGTCAAATACAGTACATTCACATTTTGATACATTTTCATTTATATTGCACTGTTTCACGTCGTGACTATAATATTTTTCATGTGATTCGTTGGAAATATTTTCCTTTTTATAAATTTGTAAATCTGCAATATCGCGCTCATTGACCAAAGTGAGACACAAACGACAAACTTGGTGATACTTATGTGGTACATTATACATTATTATAAATAACTAGTATTTTTTACACTGTTTTTATGGAATAAGTAAATCTGGTCTGTTTTTTGTTATATTTTAAATTATAACTTTAAACCAAATTAGAAAACAAAGTTAAAGACAACTTATCAGTTTTTCATCGTTTTACAACCCATGTTCAGATCACCGAAAATAGCTCACTTCAATAGTTCTTTAAACTTGCGATTACTTTCCGAACTACTAGTTCTTTCATTAATAGGGCTGCATAATCAACATTATTAAAATACAAATCGGAATATATACTAAACTTTCCACATTTCAATACGTTTCCATCCCACAATTAACGAAGACCACTATAGCCATGTAACTGTTAGCAAAATATTTAATTTGTGTTAAATAACTTATTAAAAGTTAAAAGCATTTTATATATTGCTAATATTCATATATATTAAATCTTAAAAAAATAATAGAGATATAACAAAATATCAATACATCGATATTTTTGTATAAAATGAAATGAAATGAAAAATTTTGTTTGCCTTAATATCATATTTATATAATTGCGTTGGTTAATCTTGTAATACATAAGTAAAAATATCGCAAATAAACAAAAATTAGAATTTGATGAAAACATATTATAGTCACTTTAGAACGGAACAGCCAAATATAATTTTTGCTTTGGATGAAATAAACAGCTTATATAATTTATATAAAAACAAGTAAAAAGACTCTAGTCGAGACTGCTCGACTAGGAGATACCCTGAACCCTCTAATCTGATATTCTAATCAGTCTGCACTTCTTTTCGACACACATACACGCACGTATTAGAACGCGCTCTGCTAACTGCGCAGTAAGCAGCGACTGCGCTTGGGCTGCGCTGTAGTGTGGGCAACATTATAAGAATTTATTTGTTGAATAATTTAATTTCTAGACGTACAATCTTAATGAAACTTACAGAGTGTTATCATATGCTGAATATATGTGTACATTCCAAAGCACAAGTCTCTAGTACTTGAAATGCGCTTTTTACAAAGGTGAGGGTGAGGGGGTGGATATAGGGGTGGGGGGTAAATTACAACAAAAATCTAAATTATATAAAATACATATAAGTCTACATTTAAAATTTGCAAGCTCTAGCTCTAAAGGTGTAGGAGATATAATTATATAACTAGCTTTCGATAAGGGTTTCAATCGATAATAAAATATCGAGAGTAGTTATCGATATATAAAGAAAAACTTGATATGCGCGTGATATACACGGACCTAGGAAAAAAAATTTCAAGTCTCTAGCTCTTATATCTTCTGAAATCGACGCGTTCATACATACGGACGGACGGACGGACGGACGGACGGACAGACAGACGGACAGGGCCAAATCAGCTCGTCACCCTGATCAAGAATATATATACTTTGTAGGGTCTGCCACGCCTCCTTCTGCCTGTTACATACTTTTAACAAAACCATTATACCCTGATTTCCCATTTTCAATGGGTTCAGGGTATAAACAGTTATTATAGATGCATATTTATTTGAAAGCATAGAAATATCACAGAGCCAGGCACCAAGGCGCACAGACAGCATATGCTAATACATATGTCAAGGGAGTGCAAGAGTGTGTGTGTGTGCGCAGTATACAGCTTGTTTGCATATACGTGGCAAACGCTTTTAAGATTTCGGTATACTCTTCACTGAAAAGGAAAGTTGTCGCGAACAAAAATTTCATATTTTGTGCGCTGCTGAGAGTGATGATTTCAGAGATCATAGAGAGCGAGACGGAGGGACTGAGAGAGAGAGTAGGACAAATGGGACATAATGTGCTTCATACGGAATCGCGACCATTTCGATTGAGCACTCACAGCGCACTGTTTTTGTCACTGCCCGAACCTCCAGCCGAGCCAACTTAACAGTTTCCAGCTGTATAATGGTTTGTTCTATATGTGTTCTCTGGTTAGTGGCCAGTGATCGAAAATACAACATTCTGAGACGCTAGCTCTACAGACAATATCGATATGATGAAAACAAGTAAATCAATCGATTATTTTAAACAAGCGAACCGAATTTGAAAAATTTGTACGATCTTTAGGAGGAACACTGACCAGAGAACACATAGACTAGAAATGTAGTACAAAGTTTTTCAACACCGAAAAATCTGTCTCCTAGGTAGTGATGGCAAAAAAAATCATTGTTCGATTATTTAATCATATGATTTATTTAAGGTGCTTTAAAGATGAATTGCAACTAATCGCGGAAAAATGGAAAAATCGATTAATCAAATGATTTTTTTGAATGCGCTTAATTTATTTTTTACTGTTCCATGGTACCAAATCGACGATCGAACTGCGCAATTATAGTTGCTTGGAGCTTTTCCGCCGTTGGTGACTTGCAATTTACCATCATTATTTTTTTGCGTCCGCAATGGACAATCGGTATAATAAGGCTCAAAATTGCGTATTTCTCATCGCATGATTGGTTGCGTGATTGTGCTGATCATTTCCATGTTGTCCCCCTCAAGTTCAGAATGTTCATTTTGGGAGCTTGATATTGTTAAATTTAAATATTTTCATTATTATAGACAACTGAAAACTCACCTTGAGGGACGCGAACTCTTTCGTATGTTTGAGTTTTAAGTGCTGAAGCATATTGGTTGTATTTTTACAATACTTCAACTGTTTTCGGCACAATTGGCAATTCACATCCGTGTCATTTAATTTGGAAAAAAATCGCCACACTTTACTAATTGTTGGTGCCATAATTACGCTTCGCTTTCCAACTTTTGCGCCCCAATGTTGCCTATAACGATGCGATTTTTTGAGCAAATCATCGATTGTCTCGATTATTCAAAACCCATTTTGCGATACAATTAAATCGTGAATTGAAACAAAATAATCGATTATTGTGTATCAAATGATTAATCGTGCCATCACCACTCCTAGGGCCTATCAATTTCGTATTTGCTCGGCTCTTCACTTTTTAGGTTCGGGCTACGAAAATATGCGAAAGTACAATCATTCCGCTTCATGCGCTCGGCCGAGATGGTCAAATGTTGAATAAAATATGTCTCTATGCTCAATTTTTGTTCTTGCTCTCTCGCTCTCTCTGCTCTCTGCTCTCTCAAATATGTATACATATGTATGTATGCATGTGAGCACAAGCAGCAGCTCACGAAAATTAAAATTTCTTCGCGTTAGACTGCCGTTTCTTCCCTTACGTTATTTGTGGGAAGGGTATGAAAGCGTTGGTGCGCATAATGAAAATGTTTTCGCGATTAGCATGCATACACACTCTCGCTTGCTACATGTCATGTACACAAATAATAACGAAAACGCATGGCAAACGGTTTGAAAAGTTCGGTAAACTCTTCACACATAAGGGTAGGCATGGGCTCTCGCTGCGAAGAAATTTCAATTTGTGAGCGCTGCTTGTGCTTACATGCATACATACATATACATATTTGAGAGAGCAGAGAGCATCGTGAGAGAGAGAGAGCAAGGGAAACATTCAGCGCAGAGGGATCTTTTGTTCAACAGTCGACCATCTCGGTCGAGCGCATGAAGCGAAATGATTGTGCTTTCGTATATTTTCGTAGCCCGAACCCAAAAAGTGAAGAGCCGAGCAAATACGAAGTGTCTGGGAGATAACTCCCGAAAAAAAGTGTGCAAAACGCTTTACACTACTTGTCCGGTCTATGTGTTCTCTGGTTAGTGCCTGAACCAATTGAAAATGGGAAATCAGGGTATAATGATTTTGTGAAAAAGTATGTAACGGACAGAAGGAGGCGTGGCAGACCCCACAAAGTATATATATTCTTGATAAGCGCGACGAGCTGAGTCGATATAGCCCTGTCCGTCTGTCGGTCCGTCCATCCGTCCGTATGAGTGCGTCGATCTCAGAAGTTATAAGAGCTAGAGAGCTGAAATTTGTAATGCATACTTGTGAGTACCATACGCAGTACGAGTTTGCTTTATTTTTTCGATAAATCGTCCAAATAACTTTTTATCGAGAATAATCGAAAAATTGATTTTGTTTTTTCAGCCTAATTTGAACATTTTTAGACCTGGAGTCTTCAAATTTGGGTTGTATATAAAGTTAATGGATATAAAGATTTTGTAATTTACAGATTTTGGATACCACGCCCCCTGCGCCCCCAAATTGTAAAAAACGCATTTCAAGTACTAGAGACTTGTGCTTTGGAATGTACACACATATTTACCATATAATTACGCTCTGATCATTAAGATCGTACGTCTACAAAAGAAATTATTCAACAAATAAATTCTCATAATATACCCACATTGCAGCACAGCCCAAGCGCAGTCACTGCTTACTGCGCAGTTAGCAGAGCGCAGGCTTATGCGTGCGTGAGTATGCATGTGTATGTATGTGTGCATAAAAGTGCAGAATGATTAGAATATTAGCTTAGAGGGTTCAGGGTATCTCCTAGTCGAGCAGTCTCGACTAGAGCCTTCTTACTTGTTTTTAATTTTCTTTTACTTATGCTGGTTTTACCAACAATTTTCTCAGTTTGCCATTTACAATTCTTTCTAATTAGAATTAAGACAAACTGATTAAGAATACATTTTCTATGCTCAAAACAAGGGTGGGTGGGAGAAAACCATTCATTATCTAAAGATGATTTTGCTGTAGCGTGCATGCAGTACAGAACAATTTTCTCTTTAATGCGAGCGATATATGGTTTCTTTTCGAAAATTTTTCTAAATGATTCGAAATGCAGCTTTATCAAATTGTAAAAATGGTCAGAAGGGGCCTTCAATTTAAGATATCTATTTATATAATGAAAATTTTGATTGAGTATCAAATACTCAGAAGAACAATGCATTTCGTCTGATGATTTTAGAAGATTTGTACAAACTTCGCAATCAGTGTTTTGCAACAGTTTGTGTAGAAGATACCCAGCAAAATATCGCAATGCATTTTCATTAAAATCATTTTGAATATTGGCAATGGTTGTATCTAATGACAATTCTATTTCTAAATCATCATCTAAGGGTTCAATTTCTGTTGGAGTGTGACATGAATTACATTGTTCATGAAAAACAGATGATTGGGACCCCCTATCTTTTATGATATTGGCCAATCTTCATCTGGAATACAATTTCCAGATACCGAAGCTGATGTCAACATTTTCATGGATAGCCTTTTAGATATCATTGTATTGAATTCGAATACTGTTGGATTACTATTTGTTCCTCCCCGACATCTAATCAAATAAA